GCACAGGCGGAGGGGGCGGGTTGGGGGGGTAGACGTGCGGGTGGTAGGGCAGGTGGGCTGGTGGGCCGTAGGCGGGGGGCAGGGCACCGTAGGAGGGGCCCTCGGTCTTCATCATGGACTGCAGGCTCTGGTAGCCCTCTCCGGACATGTAGGAGCTGGTGGTCGACATCCCGGTCATGTAGCTGGAGGGCGGTGGCGGCGGTGGCCGGTGTGGCAGCGGTGGCGGCTGGTGCACAGGGGCCGGGTGGGCCGGAGGAGGAATCTGCACTTTGGGGAGGTCACTGGCATCCACAGGGCCTGGAGGCTCAGCCTCGCCTAAGGGAGCCGAGATGGGAGGCTTCCGGTCTGCAGGGGAGAGACAAGTTACTGCCCGGCCCCGGGCTCCCAGGGTGGCCCGTGCAGGGACGCATCCGGGGACCCCCTCAGGGTGGGGAAGGCCTGAGCCAGGGTCTCCCACGGCAGTTCCCACGGCCACCCTAACCACCCCGATTTCTGGCCTCCAGTACAGCCCTGGCGGGGCTGCTGCCCTGTCCCCAGGGCCATCTTCACAGAGGAACAGGGAGCAGCCGTCACTGTGGCAGTCGGCACCCGACGCCGTCCGCTTGTGCCATATCTGTCACAGAGGTCCCTGCCCCGGCACGGCTGGGTCTCCCTCCCTCGGTCCTCGGCACACCAGCCAAGGAGGTGCCTGCAGTGCACGAAGCCCCGTCTGCCTCCGGCTGCGTGCCCGTCCTGCCAGCACAGCCCCGAGTGGGGGCCCCTTCTTCCTGCCTGTCTCTGCCTCCCGAGACTGCGAGGCCAGGGCCACGTCACCTCACTGTCTGCAGCACGGGCATCAAACACAAAGCCTGAGAGGTGGTCAAGTGAACGAGGCAATGTTTAAAAAAATAACAAGCGTCTGATATTCCCCATGTAGCCACCAAAGTAGCAATTCTGCTTCTAGCTGACAGAAGAAAACAGAGATGGGACCCCACCGCGTCCTCTCAGAAAGCACCGTGCCGTGGTGCCTTCCGGCCATGGCCCTCCACTCCCTTCACCCACGGTCTCGTCTCACCCGTTTTCACCTGCCACCCCCCAACCCCCGCATTCCTGGTCACACACCTGGAAGAGAACACCGGACACCCCACCAGGGGAGGCCCATCACTGACAAGTGGGTCTCTTCCTAAGGCAACCCAGAGTCCAGGGCCAATCACAGGAGCCGAGATCTCTGGGTCCAGAGAACACAAAAAAGTGAAGGCCGCGAAGGGGGCCTCCAGTCTCCTGGCCCCCTGCCCCGCGTGCTCCCTGGAGCTCCCGCCAGCCCTGACTGCGGACACGGACGTGCCGAGTGCCCAGGGGGGCGCCGGCGGCTGCGGTTCCCTCACTGCTTTCTCCAAGTGAACGAGAGCACAATCTCGGCTCGGCCAGGACATCCTCAGCAAGAGCCACGTCCCCGGGACTGGGCCTGAGCTAAGCGGCGTGCCCGCCCAAATCCGAAGCCAGACGTGCCTGTAGAGAAATCTGCTTGCGCTCCAGGGTGGGGCCGGGGCCCCGCTGGTGCCAGAAGCTGACCGGAAGACGCAGAGCATGAACCTGAGGCCTGTGGACCCAAGTGCCGGCCGCCTCGGATGGCCCCGTACGCCGGCCACGGCCGCCCGGGCCCACGAACGTGCTCTCCCATCCCCGAGACCTCGCTTCCTGTGACCCACAGCTCTGCCGCCTCCCCACGTCCCCGGCGCATCCGCCTGTCCTCTGTGACCGCACCCGGAACACGCGGTCTCTCCAGGCACCTGCGCTACTCTTCTTCCCTGCCGACACCCACCACCACCAGCTGCCCTCTGAGACACCTGGTGACCTAAGTGGCTCGCCACGTCCCGCGCCTCACGGCAACTGTGGTTCTAGCTGCTCCTGAACCGGACTCCCGCTCCTCCTCCGAGCCTTCCGCCTACCTGCCTCCCATCTGCCACAGGCCCCTACGAAGTGGGGACGGGACCCTGCCGGAGTGAGCTCCTGCAGCCCGGCCCACCCTTCCCTCCCGGCTGCAGAGTCAGTTCCCACCACCCGCCACCCCTGCCCTCACCCTCCCTGCCCGCGGCCCACCGTGGGAGCTCCTCCGCAGAGTGCGGCTCTCTCCCTGCCCTGGGCAAACCCGGGACACCAACCCTGTCCTCAGCTGCACCCCCGGGCACAGGAAGGGAGGCCCTTCGCTGGCGGAGAGACGTAACATGAACACTGAATGACCCATGGCAGGTATTTTTCAGCAAGCTTCATACTGAACCAGGGACTGAGAGAGTTGTCCCACAGCAGAAAATGGTGCCCCGGTTTCCCCAAAGCTCGTAAAGTGCTGGGACTGGCCACACGTAGAAAGAAATGCCATCGGCAGCACCCCTACCACAGACACGCGGGCGCGAGGGGCCCAAGGGCACGGCAGGCACTGGCAAGCGGAGAGTGCAGCCCAGTGAGAGCGCGGACCCCGCCGCGGAGCACCCAGCCCCCCTTGACTCACACACACAACTGCTGCCCTCCCTTGTTTCCTGCTTTGTCTTCCGGACCGCTGCCCCAGGGAGATAATGCTAAGGAATAATGCCCCAAGGAATAATGCTAGATTCCTTACAACACTTCTCCAGTTTTAAGTGGTGCCAAGGAAGCTTCCCAGTTCACCGTGTGCCTGTCGAAAATGTGCCAGGCTTTAATTTATTCTCTGCTGGGCTCTGAGCTACTGCTTATCTTCAAAACGTTCGGAGAGGCTACCCTGCCACCAGGAGGCAGGCGTGTGAGGGACAGGGGGCTCAGATCTACGGCAATCCCGCTGGGTCGATGTTCGTACATCAGCAGGCTTTGCTTTCCTAAAACTGATCCTACGTTGTTTAGCCTGCGGAGTCCGGCAGCTCTGCACGTGGGAGGTCAGAGAATATCCAGATATACTTAAAATTTACGACTTCCTCAAAATGTCTGCTTTGTGAAAAGCATAATTTTTGAAAGATCCTTGGACATCACCTTCTTTTTAAATTTTGGCTAGCAAGTTTCCCCTCCACAAACTCGTCCCCAGGCCTTCCCAAGTGTGCCCTTCAAGAAAGCCAAGCCAAAAGCTGGCACTCGCAAGCTGCTTTCAGCGGACACTTACCTGGAGGTGGGTGGGCCGGAGGCAGTGGAGGGTGAGTGGTCTCGATCTTGGGGATTTTAGGTGGCGGTGGTTCTAAAGAGGAAAAGTGGATGGAAAAGCGACTCAGACCTCTCCCTGCGAATCAAGAGACCATGGAAGGAAAAGAGAGGCGGAGGAAAATGTGCTGCTCAGGAACGTCTTTGGGGAAAAAGAACGGATATATGGGAAAAGCTTCAGGAACCTGAGGGAGCCTCAACTAAACCAGGTGCTAGTCCTTTTGCAGGAACCGAACAGGCCACACACCGCCCCGTACCCCCAAATAACACAGCCCGCTGGCCCTTTACAGCCCTTTCCACATCCACCCAGCTTCCTTGCCGACCGTCCCAGACAAGCCTTCCAAAGACACGAGAGCAGCCGGGTATGGGCGCCCCCACTCGTCCACAGAATGTTCGGACACCCAGCCCCGAGGGCTCACAGGACAAACTGCCACCTTCGTATTCTTAGGCACATTTTAAGTTTATTTTCTCCCTTATGAATATTTACTTCCTCTGGCAGCACATCGGCAACAGGACATGAACGGACTTCAGGACAGATCAAGGGGCTGACAAGCCAGGAGCAAACCGAACAGGACACTTGGGGCGGGGCACACAGCCTGCCCCTCAGGGTCCGGTGGCTGTGGGTAACCAGCATCCACCCTGATGGTGCTAAGTAGCCACGACAGGCTACAGCAAGCCCAGTGTCTTGTGTTTCACGAGAGCAGGGAGGGTGCACACATGATCGGAAAAGAACCCCCATCTCTGCGGTTGCTTGCGTGGCTTGACTCCTCCTTCCAGAAACTCACTTGATTCTGGCTTATACTCAGCTCTGATTTAATCCTACTTTAGTGTTGCTGAACTTTTCCTGGTTTCCTGTCCCAAACAGGCCGAATTCACGGTCCAGGGATGGGTCTGTCTGTATTCTCTTCCTGGAAGACCAAGTCCCCTCTTTCTAGGTGGATGAACTGTCCACATGTGCCTCCAGCCGCTCTCTCCCCACTAAAGCCCTGGACCTGACTTTCAAGCTCCCTTCCCAGACCCAGCAGCCGCAGCTCACGTGACTCCTTCCCGGCCCGCGACCGCTGTCACACTCTCACCTCGGACACCCACCTACGGCCCACCCCACTGCCCAGATGAAGCCGGTCTAGGTCAGTGCTGCCCACAGACAGAAGAGCTATATGTATGATTTTAACTTTTCTGGTAGTCACCTTCAAAAGAGATGAACTCAATGTGATACATAAAAAGTTTGACCATTTCAATGTGTAATCAACATAAAAATTTATCAATGAGATTTTTTACATTCTTTTCTCTTAGTAATGCTTGGAAATCTGGTATGTATTCTGCACTGAGGACACATGACGATTTGGGTTGGCTGCACTTTCAGTGAGTGCTCGAAAGCCCCCTGTAGCTAGTGGCACTTAGCACACAGCCAGGTCAAGGTCCCACCTGCAGGCTGTCTGCACCCTCCCTCTCTGGGCCTGAGGCCACCACTCCCCCCTTCACTGCCTCTCACCCAGATGCTTGTAAGCTCCTCCCCGTTCGCAACCCTCTGTGTCCCATTACTGCTGCCAGGGCACTTCTAAAATGAACTCAGATTCCACCATTCTCCTGCTCACAGATCTTCAGTGGCTCCCACTGCCTATGCAAACACCCACATTCCGGCAGGTCGACTCTGTCTGGTTCCAACCACACGTTTGGTCCCAGCAGAAGCTTCTTTTCACCGCTTCACAGCTAGTAGTCCAGTAAGAGCCCTCTCCACCTGCCCCCAGCTCCTCTGCCCCCTTCCACCTACAGGCCGAAACCCTGGGTGGGGCTCCGGGCGCTCAGACTCAAGTCCTCCTCCAAGGTCGCCACTGGCTCGTTTCTGCCGTGTACGGATGTAATAGGCCTAGCACACCAGCTCAGCTCAACTGTGTACCCACAGGGTGGAGAGGCACAGCCCCACACTTAGGTCTCACACTTACTTTTTGGTGCCCAGTTGGAGCAGAAAAAAAATATTCACCTGTACTGAACCCATCATTTCCCCCAAAGACCCTAAGAAAATGCAGCTTTGTTGCAACTGGAAGGTCTCACAATCGTTCAATAAATCATTCACTGAGTTCCTACCCTGGAACTTAGCCACAGAGAAACAGAAATGAGTAAACATGGTTTTATCTTCAAAGAGTTCAGTACATCGAAGCCCACAACACAGAGACAAAATGCTTCTAAGTTTCTGTTCTGTGATCTTCCAGATTTTTAATTTAATTTTAGAGAGAAAGAACAGGAGCAGGAGAGGGAGAGGGAGGGA